CGGAAATTCATGAATGTCTCATTGTGAAGCTCTTTAATCACGTTGCCAGAAAAATCTCTGAAGAATTTAAAAATGTTCATTATTAAGGTACCTCAGCAAAATAGCAAAAATTGGTATATAAGTAAGAGTTCGAAAAACATGCTTACGCCCACTGAAAGCAATAGATTTAGTAGCCTGCGTAGCTGGCGGGATTCTTTTGCTAGGGGTACTGTTTTGGCGGCGGTGCCGTCACGCAAGGCGAGGAAGCCGCGAGGGAAAATCCGCCGGCCACATTTCTTATGAGTTTTGAATGCCGCCCAGTTTTGTCACCTTGTTTGGAACAATTTGACCACCCCGTCATGAAGAGTTGTGTAATACGAAACTGACCTGCAAAAGAGCCAAGCCAAGCGTAACAATCAAGTGACGAACAAAACAACTATTTGTTGAAAGTTATTCAGGATCCAGGTAGGGTATGCTGCAGTTACTCCAGACTTGAGAAACTAAATTCTCTAGTAAACGACCATTTAGCGGCAATAAAAAGCTTTATACTTCAAAAGAGGTCAAAGAATTCCCTAAAATGCTTCAGAGGTCAAATTCTGTCAGAGACAAAGACCAAAATTTCCTGAAATAAGTCATTTTTTTTAACCTACATGGACAGCTCTCTTGGCCATCATGTAAATGCATAGTCACGCAAAGGCTTACTAGAAATTCAAGCACACTCTATCACAAAACCAAGAAGCGAAAATTTGTATGAAAATTAGTTTTCAGCTGCTCTGTTGCATCGTGAAAGTAAAATCTCGGTAAGATCGATAGTTTTTTAGTTTGAATTTTAGTAACGTCATGTGAAAAGCAACAATTGTGGAGTGGACTGGAGCCGGTTTATAGCTTGCTCGATTTGATTCATTTCCACGTGTACGCACTAACTTTCCCTTGGGAGATAGTAGGGATAGCAATTATCATTTGATTGGCGTTTTATCGCTTCTCAGCCAATTAGAAACTCCCGTAAGCCTGGCTGTGGACTATTCAAAATACCCAAGAATTGTGGCAGGCGGGACTTCAAATTGACTTGAATACCCACTTTTCTCGGGGCTCCGCCGCAAAAACAATACAGCACTCCCACGCTAATCCCGCGAGCTACGCAGGCTATAGATTTAGCTCAAATAAGGGTATGTTGTACACCCTAATTGTGACAATGATTGCTAAATCAGACGATAACCCACAATATAAAATGGGGCAATACAGATCATATGAGAACACGATTCTGTCGCCGCATATCTGTATTATACTATTTTATATGTAAATAAAGGAAAAATGTTCTGGGGTGTGTGTATTAGCAATGTCACGTGTTTGTGTGATGTATAGTTGTCTAGTTTTAAATTGTTTTGTATTTTTTGGTGTTTACTGTGCAAAACATTGGACTACATGAAATTATTTAAAAATCAAATTCAAGTTTATCAAAATACAAAAAAGAGACCTGTGCTCGAAATCTCTTAAGGGGATTTCTTTCTCAGTTGAGTGATGGTGGGATTGCGAGCAGGTGTAATATCGGAGGATGCTTTAATACTTACAGTTCCTGCAAAGTACTCAGATTTTTGAAAATGTCTTTTGGTAAACGCTGCAGTTTATTAGAGCCTAAATTCCTTTTAAAAAACAACAAACCAAAATAAGCAATATAAAAATCACTAAAGGCCGATTAAAAACAACTGCCTAGTAAAAACATAGACCCCGTTACTTGCTGATGGGCAAATTAATGAAATTGGGTTCAAAGAATAACAGGAAGTTTCTAAACCATGTAATTAAAAGAGCGCATGAAACAAACTCTGAAAAAAAAAATGTTCAGATTAAAATGAGAGATTATATTGACAGGCGGGCTACCTCACATACCTTTTCTTTTTAGTATTTTATTGAATGGGGAAGTTTATAACAAAAATTGTTTTACCAGGAATTTAAACACATCAACTCTTCTACAATAATTATACACCTTACCTATACTTAAGAAAGAAAGAAGCAGAAAAAATAATAATGATAAATAAATACCCTTCCTAGCTAGTCTTACGGAGGTAAATACTGTGAAGAAAATTCCAAATCATTGGAAGCTAAGAAAGCCAATATAATACTTACAGTCGTAAGAGGGACCGCAAATTCATGAATGTCTCATTGTGGAGCTCCTTAATCACGTTGCCAGAAAAATTTCTAAAGAATTAGAAAATGTTCATTATTAAGGGACCTCAGCAAAATAGCAAAAAATGGTATATAAGTGAGAGTTAGAAAAACATGCTTACACCCACTGCAAGCAATAGATTTAGCACAAGTAAGGGTATGTTGTAAACCCTAATTGTGACAATGATTGCTAAATCAGACGATAAGTTTGTGACCCACAATATGAAATGGGGCAATACAGATCATACGTGAACACGATTCTGTCGCTGCATATCTATATTTATAATATTTTATATGTAAATAAAGGAAAAATGTTCTGGGGTGTGTGTATTAGCAATGTCACGTGTTTGTGTGATGTATAGTTGTCTAGTTTTAAATTGTTTTGTATTTTTTGGTGTTTACTATGCAAAACATTGGACTACATGAAATTATTTAAAAATGAAATTCAAGTTTATCAAAATACAAAAAAACAGACCTGTTTTGGAAATCTTAAGTGGATTAATTTCTTAGTTGTGTAACTGCGAGCAGGTATAATAAATCGGAGGATTTTTTAACACTTACAGTTCCTGCAAAGTACTCAGATTTTTGAAAATGTCTTTTGGTAAACGCTGCAGTTTATTAGAGCCTAAATTCCTTTTAAAAAACAACAAACCAAAATAAGCAATATAAAAATCACTAAAGGCCGATTAAAAACAACTGCCTTGTAAAAACATACACCCCGTTACTTGCTGATGGGCAAATTAATGAAATCGGGTTCAAAGAATAACAGGAAGTTTCTAAACCAGGTAATCAAAGAGCGCATGAAACAAACTCTGAAAAAAAAAGATAAGATTAAAATGAGAGATTATATTGACAGGCGGGCTACCTCACATACCTTTTCTTTTTAGTATTTTATTGAATGGGGATGTTTATAACAAAAATTGTTTTACCAGGAATTTAAACACATCAACTCTTCTACAATAACTATACACCTTAACTATACTTAAGAAAGAAGGAAGCAGAAAAAATAATAATGGTAAATAAATACCCTTCCTAGCTAGTCTTACAGAGGTAAATACTGTGAAGAAAATTCCAAATCATTGGAAGCGAAGGAAGCCAATATAATACTTACAGTCGTAAGAGGGACCGCAAATTCATGAATGTCTCATTGTGAAGCTCTTTAATCACGTTGCCAGAAAAATCTCTGAAGAATTAGAAAATGTTCATTATTTAGGGACCCCAGCAAAATAGCAAAAAATGGCATATAAGTGAGAGTTAGAAAAACATGCTTACACCCACTGCAAGCAATAGATTTAGCACAAGTAAGGGTATGTTGTAAACCCTAATTGTGACAATGATTGCTAAATCAGACGATACGTTTGTGACCCACAACATGAAGTGGGGCAATACAGATCATATGAGAACACGATTCTGTCGCCGCATATCTATATTTATATTATTTTATATGTAAATAAAGGAAAAATGTTCTGGGGTGTGTGTATTAGCAATGTTACGTGTGTGTGTGTGATGTATAGTTGTCTAGTTTTAAATTGTTTTGTATTTTTTGGTGTTTACTGTGCAAAACATTGGACTACATGAAATTATTTAAAAATGAAATTCAAGTTTATCAAAATACAAAAAAACAGACCTGTTTTGGAAATCTTAAGTGGATTAATTTCTTAGTTGTGTAACTGCGAGCAGGTATAATAAATCGGAGGATTTTTTAATACTTACAGTTCCTGCAAAGTACTCAGATTTTTGAAAATGTCTTTTGGTAAACGCTGCAGTTTATTAGAGCCTAAATTCCTTTTAAAAAACAACAAACCAAAATAAGCAATATAAAAATCACTAAAGGCCGATTAAAAACAACTGCCTTGTAAAAACATACACCCCGTTACTTGCTGATGGGCAAATTAATGAAATCGGGTTCAAAGAATAACAGGAAGTTTCTAAACCAGGTAATCAAAGAGCGCATGAAACAAACTCTGAAAAAAAAAGATAAGATTAAAATGAGAGATTATATTGACAGGCGGGCTACCTCACATACCTTTTCTTTTTAGTATTTTATTGAATGGGGATGTTTATAACAAAAATTGTTTTACCAGGAATTTAAACACATCAACTCTTCTACAATAACTATACACCTTAACTATACTTAAGAAAGAAGGAAGCAGAAAAAATAATAATGGTAAATAAATACCCTTCCTAGCTAGTCTTACAGAGGTAAATACTGTGAAGAAAATTCCAAATCATTGGAAGCGAAGGAAGCCAATATAATACTTACAGTCGTAAGAGGGACCGCAAATTCATGAATGTCTCATTGTGAAGCTCTTTAATCACGTTGCCAGAAAAATCTCTGAAGAATTAGAAAATGTTCATTATTTAGGGACCCCAGCAAAATAGCAAAAAATGGCATATAAGTGAGAGTTAGAAAAACATGCTTACACCCACTGCAAGCAATAGATTTAGCACAAGTAAGGGTATGTTGTAAACCCTAATTGTGACAATGATTGCTAAATCAGACGATACGTTTGTGACCCACAACATGAAGTGGGGCAATACAGATCATATGAGAACACGATTCTGTCGCCGCATATCTATATTTATATTATTTTATATGTAAATAAAGGAAAAATGTTCTGGGGTGTGTGTATTAGCAATGTTACGTGTGTGTGTGTGATGTATAGTTGTCTAGTTTTAAATTGTTTTGTATTTTTTGGTGTTTACTGTGCAAAACATTGGACTACATGAAATTATTTAAAAATGAAATTCAAGTTTATCAAAATACAAAAAAACAGACCTGTTTTGGAAATCTTAAGTGGATTAATTTCTTAGTTGTGTAACTGCGAGCAGGTATAATAAATCGGAGGATTTTTTAATACTTACAGTTCCTGCAAAGTACTCAGATTTTTGAAAATGTCTTTTGGTAAACGCTGCAGTCTATTAGAGCCTAAATTCCTTTTAAAAAACAACAAACCAAAATAAGCAATATAAAAATCACTAAAGGCCGATTAAAAACAACTGACTAGTAAAAACATAGACCCCGTTACTTGCTGATGGGCAAATTAATGAAATTGGGTTCAAAGAATAACAGGAAGTTTCTAAACCATGTAATTAAAAGAGCGCATGAAACAAACTCTGAAAAAGAAAAATGATCCGATTAAAATGAGAGATTTTATTGACAGGCGGGCTACCTCACATACCTTTTCTTTTTAATATTTTATTGAATGGGGATGTTTATAACAAAAATTGTTTTACCAGCAATTTAAACACATCAACTCTTCTACAATAACTATACACCTTAACTATACTTAAGAAAGAAAGAAGCAGAAAAAATAATAATGATAAATAAATACCCTTCCTAGCTAGTCTTACAGAGGTAAATACTGTGAAGAAAATTCCAAATCATTGGAAGCTAAGGAAGCCAATATAATACTTACAGTCGTAAGAGGGACCGCAAATTCATGAATGTCTCATTGTGAAGCTCTTTAATCACGTTGCCAGAAAAATCTCTGAAGAATTAGAAAATGTACATTATTAAGGGACCTCAGGAAAGTTGCAAAAAATGGTATATAAGTAAGAGTTCGGAAAACACGCTTACGCCCACTGCAAGCAACAGAATTAGCACAAGTAAGGGTATGTTGTAGACCCTAATTGTGACAATGATTGCTAAATCAGACGATAAGTTTATGACCCACAATATGCAATGGGGCAATACAGATCATATGAGAACACGATTCTGTCGCCGCATATCTACATTATATTGTTTTATATGTAAATAAAGGAAAAATGTTCTGGGGTGTGTGTATTAGCAATGTCACCAGTGTGTGTGATGTATCGTTGTCTAGTTTTAAATTTTTTTGCAGTTTTTGGTGTTTACTGTGCAAAACATTGGACTACACGAAATTATTTAAAAATGAAATTCAAGTTTATTAAAATACAAAAAACTACGACCTCAAGTATGCCAAATGCGAAGGAGAAGAAGCGCCCACGTCGGTTAGAATCTTCGAGCCTTCATCTGTAACCGAAGAACTACACCCACGTGGGCGCGTCTTCTCCTTCGCATTTGGCATACTTTAAGTCGTGGGAATGCGGTTTGACGAATCATAAGACAAACTTCTAGTTCTCTTGCCAAAGAACATAACCAGACCCATTTCTATTACTTCACAACACCACTATCGCCATCGTTGTTTGACGAGCTTAAAAATAGCGTCTTCCCACCATGATGGTTAGCCCCAATCCCAGCTACCTCACCTAACTGGAGTCCCCCACCTTTATGTAAACAGGCACTTAGACAGGATAAGGAAAGTAACAGAAGTAGGCAAAGACACAAGCTAGGTACGCGACAAAACTCTTTTGGCTTAATCCGAAGAGCATATATCGTGCCACAATGGAAGGATGCAAGGAAAGAAGCAGTGGATAAGAGGTACTATATCCAAGCAATTCCGCTCTCTGAGCAAGGGGGAGAGAGAAAAATGGTATTTGGGGAATTCGTCGGGTAAGACCACTAAAGCAAGCTGCTGGAAGGTTATACTCAAAAGCCGATTATTCAGCAATTTGTAAGAAACCGTGCGCGAGTTTGCTTTAGCCCATGCTCGATATATTAAAATTCTAAAGTGACTTCGAGGCTTTCTGGTCATATTTCTATATTTGGTCTGGTTTTCTTTGAGCTCAAGTCTTTTATGGGAATTGCGAGACACTGGAGTCATGAGAAATTTTGAGCGAGCGATCGAGCGAGCGACCGTCCGTCCGAACCACAGGCATATCAATGTAAAATAACTCAATCAACAGGTATGGGAACCCAAATGCAACTCAAGGTTTTATTTGGAAGGAAATCACCTGGCTGCCCGGACTTTTAGAAAGAAAAAGGTCGTGTCTTTTTCGGCGTTATTTTTTATGTGTACACTAACGTGGATAACAGAGAAAGAGCTAGAGCGAGTTATTGAAAATTCGTAGGAAGAAAAACATGGAAATTCAAAGCGGTGGTGAGAAAATGAGAAATGCTAGCGGCCAGCAAGGTGAAAATGAGCGGCAGTGAAAAATAAAAGCGAACATGAACACTGCCGCTCGCGTCTCCGTCATCGGTCTCGGCTATTTCTTTGGCTTTGGCAAGTCGACCCTTGTTCCCACGCAAACGTCGGTTTTTCTGTGGTATATCATAGATTTTCCTCACACTACGTTTTTAATGCCCCTAGATAAGAAGGTTAAACTTGCTTCTTTTCAAGAAAATATGCTTAGCCACAAGACGATATTTCTAAGGCTCTGCAGAAGTCTGTGGGAAGATAAATTTCTTTACACTCTTGTACCTGCCGCCAGGTTGTTTTCTCGTGCGGCGTGTTTGGCCATATCACACGGCACTGACGTCTCCAAGAGCTGTTCCCGTAGGGTGAGCTTCTGAGATTGGGGGGAATATTACGGTTTTTCTAAGGTTGTTGGCTTAGTGGCGGCATTCGGCGCTCGGGTAGAAATTATTTTCGCCCATATCTTAGTATTCCCCGCGTGTGCCATAGAGGTGCAGCATATCAATGAAAATTCTCCTACTATTTTCATTGATATGTTTGCTCCGAAATGGGCACGCGGGCCNAAGAGCTAGAGCGAGTTATTGAAAATTCGTAGGAAGAAAAACATGGAAATTCAAAGCGGTGGTGAGAAAATGAGAAATGCTAGCGGCCAGCAAGGTGAAAATGAGCGGCAGTGAAAAATAAAAGCGAACATGAACACTGCCGCTCGCGTCTCCGTCATCGGTCTCGGCTATTTCTTTGGCTTTGGCAAGTCGACCCTTGTTCCCACGCAAACGTCGGTTTTTCTGTGGTATATCATAGATTTTCCTCACACTACGTTTTTAATGCCCCTAGATAAGAAGGTTAAACTTGCTTCTTTTCAAGAAAATATGCTTAGCCACAAGACGATATTTCTAAGGCTCTGCAGAAGTCTGTGGGAAGATAAATTTCTTTACACTCTTGTACCTGCCGCCAGGTTGTTTTCTCGTGCGGCGTGTTTGGCCATATCACACGGCACTGACGTCTCCAAGAGCTGTTCCCGTAGGGTGAGCTTCTGAGATTGGGGGGAATATTACGGTTTTTCTAAGGTTGTTGGCTTAGTGGCGGCATTCGGCGCTCGGGTAGAAATTATTTTCGCCCATATCTTAGTATTCCCCGCGTGTGCCATAGAGGTGCAGCATATCAATGAAAATTCTCCTACTATTTTCATTGATATGTTTGCTCCGAAATGGGCACGCGGGCCTCATAATTTAGCACGTTTTCCCTCCTGGGACCCTTGCATTACCCCTGCCGTATTGAGCGTGGTATTTAAATGTTTTGCCAATATCGGGATCACTTATCAGATCGCTTTTCTATGCGTTCATGCCCCGAGAGGGCATATATACTTGCGTTTTTTGCCCCCCCCCTCCTCCCCTCAGCGACGAAAACCCGGTTATGCTGCACTTCTTCCCATACGCGGAAATTATTTTCACCCATATCTTAGTATTGCGCGCGTGTGCCATAGAGGTGCAGCATATCAATGAAAATTCTCCTACTATTATTATTAATTTCTGTTTGCATGGGCTAAACAGCGATAGAGTGGGCCGATCTGTTATTTCACCCTGACCTCGGTAGACAGGAAGGATATCATGGTTCAGTTTGGGCAAGCGAACTTTGTGAAGACAAAAGTCTAATCATATTGTTTTACTGGTAGGGATGAACTGTTTACAGAAAGAGGAATACATGTATAATTTTGATATCCTTTAGCGAGGATTTCAGTCGCGGCGAAGCCATGTGAAGATTTACTGTGGGCCCAGCGTGACAAAATTTAGCAGGGATTCTACCTTGTCATCAGTCTAGGTCGCTTCGGAGTCACATTAGATGCGCATGCCCGTTGCTGATCAGTGTGCTTTGCGTTTCACTGGAAAGTACAATATTGTGAGCGATTTCTGCCTTTTTTCAAGGGTAATCTTCAACATTATCGCTTTATTTTTACAGTATACTACCAGGGAAGGAAGGTAACCTGCAGTTTTTGGTGACTTCCCAGTTTTTTTCTCCACAGTTTGGTCGTTTTCCTCCTAACATGTCTGATGAAGATATCACGCCAACGACCCATTGTGCCGACACTGCGGACAGCTCTCCTAGTCAGGAAAATTCGGTTCATGTCTTTAATGGCGAAGACCTGTCTAAATCCCTGGATAATATAAGCAATAACATGGGTAAAATGGCTTGCATGTTAGCAAAATTGTATGATCCTGGCACAGACGAACGCTCCCCGAGCATAAAACGAAAGCCCACATCCGACCTCCCGGATTTTTTCAGACTCTTACTCCGAAGGAAACTCTCGCCAGTCAGGCAAACGAAAGCGTTAGAAAAGCCAAACAGAAGACAATTTAATCTCCACGCTAGTGGTGACGAGCTGGACGACGAAAACGGCATTCAAAGGCTCACTGACCGTTCAACGGCCATCGGTCAAAAAGAGCGGGAAACTCCCGCTAAGGAAACAGAGTTCCCTCAAGATTTTGCCAGCAGTTACGACGAGGATGACGCCACCGGTGACGAAATCCAGAAAGAGTTGGCTGATGTTGCTCAAAAACAATGGGACAAGAAACTGTCCCCCGAAAAAATTAAAAGTTTGGTCGAAACTGCTCTGACATAAAGGGTATAAAAGTAAATCCCGAGATATGGAGACAACATCAAAATCATGGCACAATAAGTTGACGCCATTGCAATGTTGGAGCATGTAAACACACAACTCGCCCAGTTGCGAAGAGATTGAAGTAAAACCATCACTGAAAGCAGAATAATCTGCCATTTGTTCTACTGAAGCACCCATCAGTAGCCAGTACCTTTTTGGGGATGACCTAGCAATACAATTGCGAGATGCTAAAAAGGCGAGCAAAATTGCATCCACATCTAAAACAGGGCCCTATAAAGGGAAACAGCACAGTTCAAACCAACATGACCGCTACAATAAAGTCCTCAAGGAAGATTTTCTACAGAAAGGCCACAATTTTTCATACAGGCTCAATGAAAAAGCTTTTGGTTGAAACAACAATTTATGAAAAGTGACCAAAAGTGCAACTGCAATGTAAGTAATGCCGGTTTGTGCCTCGATCGCTCAACGATCAGTTCTCATTCAGCCTTGCGATCTTCGACTGATCACCACAGAAAACGTTGATGTTAAATGTGTAGCCTTCGAACTTGTCAATATGCGCTCCGGCAAAAATTGCCTTTCGCTGGATTTGTTGGACTGTGAAGACATTTCGCTGTGTTGTAGTGGAGGTACCGACTTGGTTTTCTTCGGACTAAGCGGATGTACCTGGCTCACGGTTCAGGATAGCAGACATTTCTCGCTGTCGCTTCAGAGATGTTGAATGGTAGCTGTCGAGGCTTTTCAAATTTTTGTGATCGCTTAGCTGTGCAACGAAGTTTGGCTGAACGTCTGCTTCGAGAAGTCGTCCAACACTGGTCTTTCTAACGGAGGGATTAGAAACCTTCTTCTTGTATGTGTCATCGAGTTTGGCTGCAGCAAACGCGTCTTTGTACTCGGCTCGTACTCAGTGCCATTTTTTTTACGAACGGAGATGAAAACTTTGGACAAAAGAAGGTCGAGCTCATTAACAGGTATGTTTTCAATTGCTCTCGACTCTTTCAGTGACTCACAAAATTTCTTCCGTGCGTTTAAATCGCTCTTAGTCTTGTATTGAGTGTTTTTTGATTTTTGCTCGACCTGCAAAAATTTCTCAATTTCGACTACATCTTTGCTCGTAGTTTCCTCGGTAAGACTCAAATTTGCCAACGTCTGCTGGTTTTTTTTTACCTGCTTCCTCGTGAAGGTCCACTGATTCTCTTATTTAGCATTATTTATTAACAGGCTAAACTTTTGTCGTGTGTTTAACGGCAAGGCTATTAATATTTACTGCTCGGCTATTGTTGAACATGCTTACACCGATGCGTCCCTTTCGGGTTTTGGTGCTCTCATTGGCTTGCCGGCGTCTGGTCCTCCGACAACTCGGTGCTCCCGAGTCTTCGCATGTCCGAAAATTGGGTTCACAACTGGTCACGAAATTCCGTTCCCCCTTAAAAACGAACGTAAACTACCTTGAACTGTACGCGGCGTTACAAGCAATCCGTAGGTGGTCTCCGCATTGGCGAACTGTCACGTTTGTTTACACACAGATAATACACAGGCCACGTCTTTCCTGAATAAGGGTTCGTGCAAAAACCCTGCTGCTATGGACTGGTTACGTGAAATATTCTGGTTAACAGCCATCTACAACTTTCGCCTGACTTCTCGCCATATTACTGGCCTCGCAAACGTCTTTGCCGACTGCTTATCTCGTGTTACAAAAATCTCTATCCCCTGAATACCGCCTTTGCCATATGTGGTCTAATTGGGCCCCTTCTCCTTCTCTCCTAGATCTTGCCGATTCTCTCGACGACGCCGTTGCCTTGGCAATTTCCAACGCTTATGCCTCCTCCACTCTCGCCACTCGCAAGTCTCAAGCCCTGAAATACCTCTAGTTTTGCCGCCTGCTTCAGACGTTACTATTCCCTATTTCGGTTAGGAACCTTTGTCGCTACTGTGTGAAGAGGTTTATGAGGCAGTCAGCCACTATTATTTTAAATTGGACGCGCTTTCCACCATAACACAACCTGTAACCAAAAACTGTTTTATGGCTGCTATTGACCTAAAAGATGCCTATTATTCCATTCCCATCAGATCTTTAGATCGCTATTTTTTACGCTTTTTTGGGAGAGCACCTTATATGAGTTCACTTGCCTTCCCAATGGTTTGTCATGTGCTCCGAAGATTGTTACTAAAATCCTTAAAAACCACTTTCCTCTTTGCACAAGCAAGGTCACATAGCTGTCGTACATCTTGATGACCTCTACTTGCAAGGACAAACCTATGACAAATGTGTCAGAAATTTTGTTGACACCACTGTATTGCTTCACAAATTAGGGTTGGTTGTACATCCTGAGCAGTCTGTTTTCATACCCACCCAAGTCCTCACGATTCAATTCTGGGGTTTGTATCAAATTCAGTAACAATGACAATACAGCTTACCAGGGGAAAAACCGCTGGTTTTCAAAGGGTTTGCACAGAGTTATTAGCATGCCCATCTCCATCTATAAGACAAGTTGCAAGTGTCATTGGTAAAATCCCAAGCCCTTCACAGGAAAAAGGGCAATTTTGATGCCTCGATGTCTCTATCCAGTCCTGCTAAATCTGAATTACAATAGTGGATCAACAATTTCGCAACTGCATAATGTGATAAACCACCCACATCCCCAACATCAAGTAACAACAGATGCTTCCCTCAAGGGTTGGGGGTTGAATCTGCACGGGTCTCCACAGGTCTCATTCAGAGTCGAAACATCACGTCAACTATTTGGAAATGTTAGCTATTCTTTTAGGCCTCCAGACCTTTGCTAAAGGAAAAAGCAACACACATATGAGAATAATGTGTGATAACACTACGACAGGGAATGTCATTAACCACATGGGAACAAGTCACTCTCATCCTTGTAATTCTGTAGTTAGGGAGATTTGGGAGTGGTGCATAGCTCGCCAGATATGGATCAGTGCAGCGTTTATCCCTGGGAAAAATAACCTAATTGCAGACTTTGAATCCAGAAGAAACCAAAGAGAATCTGAGTAGCAGCTTGACAAAGTATCTCTTTGTAATGCCTTTGAGACACTAGATTTCACGCCAGATATTGACTTATTTGCCTCTCGTATTAACCATCAATTTCCAAAATATGTGTATTTTAGACCTGACCCAGAGGCCTTTGCCATTGAGCTTTTAGCCTAGATTGGTCTAACCTAAATTTTTATGCCTTCCCTCCTTTCAGTGTTATTTCAACAGTGCTAAGCAAACTAAAGTGCGAGGGAGCAATTGGGGTTGTGTGTTGCCAAAATGGCTAACACAGGCGTGGTACCCCGTAGTTTTTCAGTTACTCAGGGAAAAACCAGTACACCCCAAGGCAAGAAAAGATCTACTTCAGTTGGCCAGCCATCCGAGGGAAACTCATCCAATCTGGCACAAGTTGAACTTCCTCGTTTGTCTCTTATCCGGGAGGGATTGAACCAGTATGATTTGTCACTATGTGCAAAAGACGTGCTTATGGCTTCATAGAGGGAAGGTACCTCCGAGCAATGCCAAAATTACCTTACCAAATGGCGACAGTACTGTAGAGAAAGGAACAGTGATGTTTTTGAGCCTGGTATAACTAATGGCATTGAGTTCAATGTTTCTTGATTCAAAGCAGGGATGGGGTATAGTGCTATAAACACTGCGCGTTCTGGTTTCCCTCTGTCCTTACCCTGAAGGATGGAGTCAAGTTTGCAGAACACCCACTAGTAGTCCGCTGCATGAAAGGGATTTTTGAGTTGAAACCAGCATTGCCCAAATATACCGATGTAAATATTGTATTAAAATATTTAAGAACTTTCGAGTCCGTAAGCTCTTTATCTTTTAAGGAACTTAGTTTAAATCTGACCATGCTTCTCTGCCTCACAACTGGGCAGAGAGGACAGACCATACACAAGATGGATGTCAGCTACATTCAACAAATGGACGGCAGATACTGAATAACTATATGTGATAAACTGAAGCAGACTAAACCTGGAAGACATCTAGAACCCATTGATTTATTTGCTTATCCAAACGATGAGAAACTCTTTGTGGTTGAACATCTAAAGGAATATTTACATCGCACAGAACAGTTGCGTAAGGGACACTCGAAGTTACTGTTAAGCTATGTCAAACCATTCAAACCTGTATCAAAACATACCATTTCTAGGGGGATTAAGCAAGTATTAGAGGCAGCTGGTATTTACATTAAGAAGTACTTGGCTCATAGCAGCAAAGCAGCATCCACATCCAGTTGCAAGGCTAAAGGTTTAAACCTAGCAGAGATTATGAAAAATGCTGGATGGTCTAATTCGAGTACTTTCTCCAGATTTTATGATAAACCTGTTGACACCGCTCAAGCAAAGTTCGGCTCAGTATTTTTAAATTAGGACACAGCGTTGTCTTTGTTCATCACGTTCTGCGAATAAAACTGTTTACATTGGAAGGGTAGTTCGTTCTACAGGACTTTGAAATCTCGTGTGACTCCGTAGTGACGTGGACTGATGACAAGGTAGAATTATAACATTTAACGGGACTTACCTGTAAGTTGAAGTTTGATTACCATTCTATCTTGTCATCAGTCCGGAACGAAGGAGTCACATGCCCTTATTGTACCCTCCCTCCCGTCTCCTTTGTTCCTTTTTTCCTTTGTCACTCACGTTGAATACTGATCAGCAACGCACATGCGCATCTCATATGACTCCAACCTATTCCGGTTGGAGCAAGGGAGAAAGAGAAAAATGATAACCGGGGAATTCGTCGGGCACGACCACTAAAACAAGCTGCTGAAAGGTTATACCCTAAAAGAGATTGGTCAGTCGTGTGGATGTAAGAAACTGTGCGCGAGTTTATTAAAAGTCTTATGTGACTTCTAGGCTTTCGGTGATGTTTCTATCCTTGGTTTGGTTTTCTTTGAGCTCAAGTCTTTTATGGGAATTGCGAGACAATAGAGACGTGAAAAATTTGCAATTTGTCCTTAAACCCTCGGAGTCATCTTGAAATTTTAATCTATCGAACTTGGGCTAATAATTATCAAGGGGCAGACATATTAGAAACGAATAGAAAACCCTCCTTAAAGCGCTATGTCCTCATCAGACATGTCGTAGCTGTTAGCCTTTAGTGCAGAAAGGTTCTAGGAAATTGCTCGGGGAAGCAATCAACTTCTTCGCCTATCAGTGAGTGTATCACACAATTTATAAATAAGACCATCATCAAGTATGAAGTAGGAGACAAATGGGTGTTTTCATAAGGTTATGAACACAGCAATCGTACTTACAGTTCTTTTAACTTCTTAAGCCTGTTGAATAGACCAGATGGTAAGTTACGTATTTTGTTGTTCCTCAGGTCACTGAAATCGAGAAAGATAATAACGTACCTGACAATTTCAATCAAGGCGTAAGAATTGATATCCAGTCGGTAAAGAAGTAACTTGTAAGGGACAGAAAACTGGCTGGCAGGTGAGAAATCGATATAGACAAAACGCTGGAGGAATGTTAAAGACAATTATACTTACAGGTAGGTAAGGAACTCCAAACTGTCAAACATACCCCAATAAAGACTCTCAATCGCGTGTGAATGCATTTCACTGTAAGAAAGGACACACAAAAAGTGAAATTACGGAATTTAAGTTAGCCTAGTTTTAGTATGTGAGCGTTTAAAAAATTGTTGCTAACCATCGAAAGCACTAAATGCTTTATTTGCATGACCATAGAGGAATTACAGTGTTGCAAAAGCTATTAGTCTAAATTTAAGTACTAATTCAACTAATTAGTACGTGCAAAACATTACAAAACGTTACAGTTCTCATTCATTCATTCATTGATATTAATTTGGGTCTTAATTCAAAGCATTGCGAGATAAATGAAACTAATTGACAGTTAATTAAATAATCAGAAGAATTCATAAAAAGAGATATTAAAGTATCGTGTGAAAGTGATTTGAAGTCAGGTATTTTAGTTTCTAGTTTGGAGAAAAATATGTCTCTGATCTGAGAATAAGCCTTACAATCTAGTAAGAAATGATTTTCATCTTCAATTTTGTTACTTGTACAAAAGTAACATATCCTTTCATTGCGAGGGACTTTTTCGTATCTACCTGTTTCAATTCTAAGTTGATGACTACTTATTCTAAATCGAAATAATGCTTTTCTCGAAGGGTTTTTTCTTCTTAAAACTAGGTAGGCGAAGGGCTATAGTCGTCTTTGATTGTACAATAAAAACTGAGTTTTTGTGATTGTTGAAGGGTCTGATTCCAGTAAGAGACGTATTTATTTTTCATTATGCCGATATACCGATTAACTATTGAGTCACTCAATGAATTACAGGAAAAGTCATAGTTTAGATGGTAGTAGTCAACCAGTTTCACGAGATTAGAGTAGAAGCTAGTTTTTCCGTTATGATGAAGGTCAATTGAAATTTGTAAGGCCTGTTTAACTATAGAATCTTCATCTTTACCTATCAGATAGTCTAAGTAATTTAGAATCTTTTTATTTATATCAATGATCATGGGGGATTTGCCGAGTTCAGCTCTACAAGCAATGTTGGATGCCTTGTTATGTACTTGTAAATAACGTTTACAGAATTGCAAATGGATTTTTTCAATTCCAGAGCTGTCCCAGGACTTAAAATCTGATTTAACAAAAGCACCCCAAAACTTCACTGTTGTAGGTTAGAATTGGTGAAATCATCGAGTCAAAAATTTTACACGCAAGTGAGGGCTTAAGACCATTCAAATCCGTGTGCCGCCTTAGGCTGAAGAGCGCATGAAGAGCTTTTTGTCGGAGGTGTTCAAGCGAAAGTGTAAAATTTCCGGAAGATAATTATGATGCGAGTTCCTAAGTAAGTATAGTTTTGGACAACGTCGATTACTTCACTGCCTGTGCGGAAGTTATGTTCACATTTTCGTGTGCATCGTTGAAAAATCATTATTTTGGTTTTCTTAGGATTTATTCTAAGCATCCATAAGTTGCAATATGAAGATAGTACGTTAAGGCAGTTTTGTAGACCAAGTTTGGATCGCGATAATATTATCAAGTCATCTGCGTAAAGGAGAGAGTTGAGTCTGGTGCCATTTGGTAACACGAAAGGGTCTGATAAAACATTGTCAAATGAGAACGCTAGATCGTTAAGGTATAAGTTAAAGAGCAGAAGGCTTAAAATGCAGCCTTGCCGCACTCCTCTTGCGTATTGTAAAGATCGCGTTCTGTTATTTCCAATCCTGACAGAGCAGGTAGACTTCGAGTATAGACTCGTAATTAGACTATAAAACTTTCCTTGGACATTGATTTTAGATAACTTATAGAGAAGCCCATCATGCCAAACCGAATTAAAGGCTTTCCTAAAGTCAACAAAACACGCATATATTTTTTAATGTTCGAAGTGTGAGGACATGATCTGCTGTTCTATTATTTGCTAGAAAGCCAATTTGAGACTTGTGAAGTATATTATAATTTATTAAAAACTGAATCATTGGATAATGCAATTCTAGTATTTTGATTGGCTTAGCCGTTATGGTATATGAGCTATTATACCATGCTCTCCATATATGGTCGGTGTACGCGTCAGTTTAAAATTGGAAGCTAACTGAGATTTTTTTTCGCGAAGGATAGAACGGCGCCCGAAGCAAATTGTTTTAATTCATTTCTTAGAATACTAGAAATGCAATTTCATCGAAAGAAAAACAACAAAAACAAACAAAAAAGCCACAAGAGCTTGTTTGAAAGTTTGTCGAAAAACACATGAAAACACATGGAACTAAAGTACCTTGACCAGCTACGAAAGAAGACAAGTGTTGTTTCTTCATGATCGCGAAGCCATTCGCCGATCGAGTCACTCGCCGATAGGTAACTGCGGCTTGTTTATCCGACATCAAGAATATAAATCACAAGTAACCAGCTACAAATACAGGCTATGCAGCCATTCACTAGAGCAATCGAGGCGGCGGTATAGCTTCTTTTTTCGTTCAGCAAAACCAGCTTGTGGCTAAAAACAACTTCATAACAAGCGACCGAGGTAATAGTTTTTCTCCGTTGTTCTTACTTTATAACTGCACCGAAAATCCAAACTCACAGTAATTTCGACGGCTGTCACTTAGAAATTCTTTTCCTTCACATTATCTGCCAGGTTTTTTTAGCTGTTCTGCTGTGTGAAATCCTAGAATCCCCATGAGTTTTTAAAAAACTAATGTTCATCGCTACAATGTTTTGATTTTTCATTCATGCAGTCCAGGCGAGTCCGTTCGCGCGTTGACAGTTTTGATAGACGTGTGACATGTGAATAGCGGAAGTCCCTTGTCTTTTCCGGTTTGTTCTAGTCGGGGAGATTCAACGAGATTTTGTGGGCGGTTTTAATAACTCGTGCTTGTTGGATATGAGATGATTATAGCCAACTCGGCGCTACGCGCCTCGTTGGCTATCTATCATCTCATATCCAACGCGCCCTCGTGGAATAATTGTTAAATATTATAGTATAGTTTAATGGATCGCTTTTAGTACCAGATTTAAAAATTGGTGTAATGAGGCCATCACAACACATTTGGGGCATAGTTCCTAAGTCGAGTACCCTGTTAAATAGTTTTAGATAAACAGGCATTAATTCGTTTAGGCTAGATTTGATCATTTCGTTTTTGATTTTGTCTGAAAAAGAAGATTTTTTTGTTTTTGAGTTTTCCAGCTGCAGTGCGAATTTCACTTTCAGTGATAAGGTAATCCAAGGAGTGAGATCGTGTTGTAATATCCTTTGAATTCTGCAACTCATTAATAATTGCCTCCTGCTGTTCATTAGGGGTTCATTCGAGTGCAGAGACTGGAAGTGGGACATCCATTTTTCTTCAGAAATTGGATGGGTGTAGGTTTCCTTCATATTGTCGTCCATTGACTTCAAACAGTTCCAAAAGCTCTTATTGTTCCAATTTTCGACCGTATTTTCAAGTTCACAGATCTTATTGCTATAGTGTTCGTTTCTCTTATGTTTCAAAAGGTTTTTATATTGCTTTAAGACGTTGTGATACCCTTCCCTGAGGGTATTGTTTAGAGGATCTCTGTGTTTTGATTAGAAAGTTTCCGCAGTTCATGTCTTTTATAGCGGCATTCTTTGTCGAACCATTTTTTGTTCGAGGATATTTTGCAACGTCGCTTTTATGCTGTTTTGATTTTCAAACAACGTTTTGCGGTTGAAGTAAGAATATTTTCTACTGCATCAAGGTTCATGTAAACATTTCTCGTGATTGTTGTAGTATTCATAAAATCGTGGATCATTCTTTGGATGTCTTCAGACCGTAATGTAGCTCTAAATTTTTGCGACGAATCGTTTTCCCAAAAAAACTGTTTTGGTAGAGGAGTCAAAGAATCATTTATAATTGTCTCGTTTGATGAATCATTATCTAAATGACCGATGGCTTATGGATTGTTGTTGATGACCTCATTTTATCTACCCGGCGAATGGTAAACTAAATTTAGGACTAGTAAATTTAGTTCAGGAACAGCGGTTTTTCCGTTTGCATAAATCATTCCCATTCACTAAGAAAAGGTTTGAAGAAGAGGGGCATGATCGAAATCCTATTTTCTCCCGGAAATTTTCCAGTAGAATGACGCAAGAAGTAAACTTGCACTTTCGACTTTTTGTAAATGCGCTATTATCTGAAATAATATTCCCCGCTGAAATACCCTTCCTAGCTAGTCTTATAGAGGTAAATACTGTGAGGAAAATTCTAAATCATTGAAAGCTAAGAAAGCCAATTTAATACTTACAGTCGTAAGAGTGACCGCAAATTCATGAATGTCTCATTGTGAAGTTCTCTCATCACTTTGTAAGGAAAAATTCCGTCATTATTAAGGGACCTCAGCAAAATAAAAAAAATGGTATATAGGTAAGTGCTCGCATTTGATCATATTTACATGTATTTTGCGCAATATAAATATTAAATTATTATTATTATTATTATTAAGAGTTCGAAAAACATGCTTACGCCCACTACAAGCAATAGATTTAGCACAAGTAAGGGTATGTTGTGGACCCTAATCGTGACAATGATTGCTAAATCAGACGATACGTTTGTGACCCACAATATGAAATGAGGCAAATTATACAGATCAGATCAGAACACGATTCTGTCGCCGCATATCTGCATTATATCATTTTATATGTAAATAGAGGAAAAATTTTCTGGGGTGGGTGTATCAGTTGGTCACGAGTGTGTGTGATGTACACACGTCTTGCTTTTTATTGTTTTGTATTTTTTAGTTTTTACTGTGCAAAGCATTGGAATACATGAAATTATTTAAAAATCAAATTCAAGTTTATCAAAATACAAAAACGAAACCTGTTTTCTGGTGGGATTGTGAGCAGGTATAATAAATCGGAGGATGCTTTAATACTTACAGTTGCTGCAAAGTACTCAGATTTTTGAAAATGTCTTTTGGTAAACGCTGCAGTCTATTAGAGCCTAAATTCCTTTTTAAAAAACAACAAACCAAAATGAGCAATATAAAAATCACTAAAGGGCGATTAAAAACAACTGCCTAGTAAAAACCTAAACCCTGTTGCTTACTGATAGGCAAATTAATGAAATTGGATTCACAGAATAACACAAAGTTCCCAAACCATGTAATTATATGAGCGCATGAAATAAACTATGAAAAAAAAGCTTATTAATAATTGTGTATAAGATATTTCTCGATAACTGATAATCTAAACAAGTGAGGATGAAGTGCTCTAGCCCTGAAACATGAATCTATCACTCGCCGGAGTAAAGTATTGATCTACTTACAGGATTTGTAGGTTGGATAGTGCTCCAAACGTCCCTTCAGGTAGGTCTTCAATGTTATTTCCTTCAAGATTTCTGTCAAATGAAAACAGTGTTAATGCATAATTATGTGGATGAGCATGAACATGTAACTGAGAAACGTTTTGGGGAGAGATTAAAAACAAGATTTTAGAGCTGCATTTTACAAAGTTCCCTTTTCTAAATAGAGTCGACTCTCTTCACAAATACCACATTAATTGCCTATTAGCCACGTTCTAAACCCGGGGGAGGGACTTCCATATGAAAGGGGCGGGGATGCTCGTCGTTTCGCTTAGGGGTGTAAATTTCAGATTTTGGTCTCGCTTAGGGTGTTCTGGGCAAAACATCATTATATTTAGCCGTAAAGGTTTCTTTTAGGGTTGCACTCGAAGAAATATTAAAAAGTTATATGTGTTCAATTCGTTTTATTTACTTGATTCATGTTATCAAAGTTTAAAATGATCTCTTTTGGGGTTCAAAGAAAGGTTGGGCCATGCCCAGATTGGTATCCTTTAGGGTTTTAATTCAAAATTTCCGACGAGCATCCCCACCCCTTTCATATGGGAATCCCCCCGGGTTCTAAACGAGCAGGGGACTGGTACGACCTATGACTGCATAGGCTCTAAGGATCGTTAGAAGGGGGAAAAAAGCATTCCGGACAGCAGCAAGCCACCTGTTACCTCAAGGTTATTCTAGCTGTAAAAGACATACCTGGTGAGATAGCGTCTTTAAGGAATACTGTAATAACGAAGGATAGTTGCATTTCTGAAACTATTATAATGCAGTTTGGAACACAGCATTTGTGGTGCGCCATGTTTTTTAACCTTCATGCTGCCCCTTCAAAAGATCCCCTCGTGGAAAGGTGCTCATTAGTGAAGGTTGGATTGTAAGAACAATATTATGCCACAGCTGAGCCNACCTGTTACCTCAAGGTTATTCTAGCTGTAAAAGACATACCTGGTGAGATAGCGTCTTTAAGGAATACTGTAATAACGAAGGATAGTTGCATTTCTGAAACTATTATAATGCAGTTTGGAACACAGCATTTGTGGTGCGCCATGTTTTTTAACCTTCATGCTGCCCCTTCAAAAGATCCCCTCGTGGAAAGGTGCTCATTAGTGAAGGTTGGATTGTAAGAACAATATTATGCCACAGCTGAGCCTGGGCCTCTATACTTGAGCCTTATATGCCCCCACAAGCTATTAATTGACTGAAGGAAGATCATTCTAAATAATAAAAAAATAACTTTAAGTTTAGATTTTTAGAGGTGTGAAGAATAACAGTTATGGCAACATGATTGAAGAATGTTTTTCTTATGACTTTTTCCGCATTAAGTTACCTCTTGCACTATAATCTACCTATTCTCATATCAACTCACAATACACGCAGTTCTTTTAGATCTGAAAATACGTCTGAGGGAATCTGGTCGATTTCACACCAACTTAGATCCCTAGTGGGAAGAAAAGAAGCCAAATATTCAGTGAGTCTCTTTTTCAGGTTTGTAGTAACAGAGAAAGAGATTTATTTACTGATGTGTTAGCTTGTGTTCAGAAAACCTTATTTCTTAGCTAGAACTACAGGGAACATGGAATTGGTCAGAAAGAAAAATAACGGCCCTCAACACCCTACAATACACGCATCTGTTCCGTTGTTAGCTATATATTTCACATATCGCTGCATTCGCTGCACTTTAGGATGACTTTTTCAGGAAAAGAGAGTGGTGGTAATTTAATCTTGGAGTTGGAAGTCAAGTACCCAGTCCAGAGCTTTTCCACTTTTGAAATGTTTTGATCCGCGAACCAAAACAAGCAATTAGCCAATCACGGAGCAATTTGGATTCACATGACGCGAGGCTCGTTTTCATGACAGTCAATACAAAAACATAGAGTAGTCAAGCATACGCGATGAAAAAAGTTCAGATATCAAAGAAAGTTATGAACCCTTTCATTACTCACTGGAATGAACCGTTTGCAGGAAAAGAGAAACGTGTCGCTAATTTCTGTTTACATGGGCTCAATAGCGATAGGAGCGGGGCCGATCAGTTATTTCACCCTGACCTCAGTAGCCAGGAAGGATATCAAGGTTCAGTTTGGGAAAGCGAACTTTGTGAAGACAAAAGTCTAACCTTATTTTTCACTGGTAGGGAGAAACTGTTTGCAGAAAGAGGAATATAATGTTGATATCCTTTAGCGAGGATTTCACTCGCGGCGAAGCCATGTGAAAATTTACTTTGGGCCCAGCGTAACAAAATTTAGCAGGGATTTTAACACATACACAAAGGGGGGAATTTCATATATCCCACGATGCTTCGCGGCTAATTTCTATCTTCTCCTCGCGGCTGAAAAAGCGTTCGAGGGTTTCGAGGGAGATTTTCAATGAGCTGAATTTCAAGATGGAGCTCATCCAAGCTACGTTTTAATGTATTCTGTTAATCCTTGGTGTCTGATTGATAATTTAAAATGTTTCCTTGGTCATTTCACGCATTATTGTTCTCGTTTAGGACTCTGTTAAACCATGCTGTTTTAACTCGCAAGTGAATGCTTATTTAGATGACCTGCATTTATCGAAAACTGTCTTTATTTTAGCGAAGTTTTGCTCTAACAAATTATTCATATCGGCGGACAAGGGGTGCTTGGTACTAGTTCCACGCTCCGACCTTTTTCGACCTCGCGATTTTTATGGGTTTGACCGTTTTGAAATATCGCATTTTCTGCCCTAAAGCTAGAATGCTAGTCGACGGTGTCAATTTCTCGATGCTAAGTCCTGCGTAGATGGGGCATTTTTTCTTGAGTTCGCTCTTTTTTTGCTTATCTAGACTACGAGTAGTCTGCCATTTTTCCTCAGGGATAGTAGAGCTTGCGAAACGCGAGCACGCGTGAAAATCACCCCACGCAAGAAAAGGCAACACGCGGCGAGGAGAGAGAAAAATGAGGGACTACAAGCTTTTGATCCTTCACGGCCGACTGATTTTGGAGTGTGAAGTTCGTATCTTCTTCCAAATCAATTAAGCACATCCAATGGGATTCCTTCCCTTATTGAGCTGTCATTGCTCTTGTCATCGGTAAACTGCAGGGGATATGTATTGCAAGCAAAAGAAAACCCAGATACTAATTTTCTTCACGGCTGTTTCGCATGAAGAACTTGATAGTGTAGGCAACACACGACTTTTACTCATGCCAAAATGCTGCTTGTTCCAATGAATTTTTTTCTCTGACGGGTAGATTATGCTCTGGAGGACAACGTTTTGACTGGGCAAATGTGATTTTTGCCGCTTATTTCATACTGAGAGGTCGTGACACGCATATTAATTTTCTGCGGTTATTGTTTATGGTCGGCATGATTTGCCCTCTGATGCAAGAGCATTTTCTTTGACCTATTTTGAAAAGTAAAGCTCTTCAATGCGGCTCAATAAGGGTTTTGGGTTGTTTGATTTCTCCGGCGATTGCCTCCTGGATCTGAATAATTTTAAGCCATTTTCTTTTTGGCTGTGAATGTGACGGGTTCCTGCAATGTTTTGTCACGCTGGGCCCAGCTCGTTAGGATATCCAAATCTCGAAGAATGGATTGCAGCTTAAACTAAAACTACGTTAACTATGGAGAATTGCGATGTGACTCAGTCATGACTGCTCATGAATTTTAACTGCCGCTTGCTTTTCTGGAGATAATGTGAGTCTTTGGACTGGAGCACGTAGTTCCTCCCTTGGTGAAAACTTTTGAATTAACTTAACAGCCTTGCGACTATTCTGTTATTCTCACTTTGTGATCAAGCAAGACCATGGTTTCGGTTCTCCACGCGAACCTTATCAGATGCCGGGTTGGCTTTGTGCTTAGTTGCTTCTACAAGAGCAAATCTAGTTATTTGTTCTGTGCTGTTATTTGTTCTACTCTAGTTATTTGTTCTGTAAATTGTGATTATGTCGAGTGTTGATAGCGGCTGGCGCGTTTTTTGACAGATGTTGACAGATTTCCATGGAAGAGCCAATCAGAGTTTTGCGTTGTGAGAGCAACGCATTAGTTCA